TTGAAGCAGGACAGTCCCACAATATTCCTTTTCCTATCTTTTGCCTTCACTCACCACTCCCTTCTTTTTGAACAATCATCTACCTGAGAGACAGCACAGCAGCAACTGGCATGTCATGACAAGCAGCCCGTATTCAGAAGACCAGAATGACAGGCACTCCAGGCATGAAACTACTATTACAGATTACCATCTTCAGTGTAGTTGCTTAGTTCACAGGCATCAGTATATATAGTTAGTCAGGGTGAGAATCTTTCCAATTGACTGCTAGATTCCAAAATCTTCTGGAGATTCTCAGGATCATTGCCTTGCTCATGTGTTAGTTTCTTAATACTTTGACCAAATTCCTGAGAAAATCAATTTAGAAGAGGAAAGAACTGTGGCTCCTGGTTCCTGAGGAGTCAGTCCATGGTTTAGTGGCTCCAAGGGAGAAGCATTGTGGCAGAGGCACATGGCAGAGGAGAGCCACTCACCTTGTAGCTGGCAGGGAGAGCAGAGAAAGAGCCAGAGAGGAAGAGGCCAAGGAGAAGACGGAGTCCCTAAGATTACCCTGTGACCTTCCAACTAGGCCCCACCGCATTTCCATCGTCTCCAACAATGCCATGAGATTATGATCTAACTCATAGAAAAATCTGATAGCAAAGGTGAAACCCTCATCCATCAGTCTCCTGAGATCTGAACACATGAAATTTTTGGCAGACAGCTTAGATCTAAACCATAATAATTTATAGAGAGAATTGTGTCCAGCACTTAGAAAAGAAGAACCTCAGTGGGAGCTGGGATAACTGGAGAAAACCATATGAAGAAGTAGAATTTATGAAGATTTGGAGACTGAATTGTTCTTGGATTGGGATAATAAGGGGCAACCAGCTGAAAGGATATCCTAGGTTTGAGAACAATCTGAGCAAATGAGTCCAGAACATCCCCTTTTTGTTTGTTTGGTTTTGTTTTTGTCTTTTTGATACAAGGTTTCACAGTACAGTTGTTTGTAGCCCAAGATGGCCTCCAACTCAACTCACTGCAGCGATCCTGCCTCAGCCTCCCAAGTGCTGGGATTTACAGGGATGCACCACCAGGCCCAACCTCATGCCTCTGTGAATGAATGGCTGCTCTCCAAGGTTGCAGCATTGGAGTCCTCCAAAAATGAGGGAGGGAAAGTGAGTCACTACCCAAGCCTATTGTATTTCCACCCTGACATTTTTGTGTATGAATGCTGAGCGCTGCTCCGCCTTTCCTGCTGCTGTGTGGGGAGGGGGTAGTGGTGTCCTTTCTAGGGCAAGATGTATTTATCCAGCTCCTCCCAGTTTTTATGTCCCCCTGTGTACCCCAAGTCACTGTTTTCTCCACCTGCTTTATAACTTGTGGGCTTCTGAAGTACCCCCCTCTTGCTGCAGAGACCCCTCTGTCTATACATCCCAGGCTGTGGCAACTGTCCAAGCCAAGGTGTAGCCCTGCTCACACTGGCAGATGGGGACAGCAAACAGACCACTGAGTTCTGCGCTGGATGTAGGCAATGGGGGCAGGGACCAGATAGCTGAACTCAGTGCCAGCACTTTCAGACCCAGTCCCTCCAAAACCACATGCAACTAGCCTGACTTCTTATCATAGAATATGGGACTTCCTGGTCCTTCTCAGCATGGGTTTGGACTTTTGAAGGAGGGGGAGTGTCTAAGTTAGGCCATGCCCTCTCTGCAACTGTCTCTTGTGGCTGTTTCCTCCTCAATCACTGTGGTAGGGTGACCCCAGAAACACTGATGTGTAGTTGTTTTGTAACTCAGTCTGAAACAACCCCTTCCTCCACATGGCTCCTCTACATGACACCCTCTCAAATATGGTGAGCACTACACAATTGATTCTCCAACTCTAGCCTGTTACAAGAGGAGGGAGTTTCTCTCAGAGTAAAACCCCACATTATTCTTGCGCTTTATACCAACCATGGGCCTTTCTTATGGCTAGCACTCCAGGTCCAGTCTGCTGTTTCTCCCTGGAGCGGCCACCCTCTTGGGCCTTGAGTTAGTGGAGACTTCATCCACAGGAGCTGGGGCAGCAGTTCAGACTGCTTTGTTCTTTTTGGTGTTGATTTTAGTTTCTCCAGTTTCTTTGTAGTTTCTAGTTTTATTGTGACTTCTCTCTTAACTCCGAAGGACCTATTTCCTGTTTTCTTCACTAAACTGGTATTTTCTGGTGTTTCAATTCTAGGTCCTGGAGAGGCTGCATTTTGCTGTTGGTCTTTCTGCCCTTTTTAATCTCCCTGCGTAATAATTCCATAGGTGCATACATATACTGTATATCACAAAGTGATCAAATTTCACATTTATGTAGCTTATTGCATGCCAAATTATACCTTAATTTTAAAAAGACAAAAGATTAATTTTAGGGATGGGGAGATAGCTCAGTGGCATAAGTACCTGCTGGCAAACTCAAGGTCCAGAGTTTAATTCCTGGTGCAGGCCTGTGATCCCAGCACTGGGGAGGCTGAGACAGGAGAATCACTATGAATCTGAACTGCATAGCAAGACTCTGTATCCAAAAAAAGAATGATAAAGAGTGGAAAAGTTATGGGGCCAGTGAATTAGAGGACTTGATGAAACCAGAAATGTGTAGGAGGTGACAGTATACAATGAAACTTTGGCAGCAAGGGGCTAGGGTGTAGGTCAGTGGGCGAAGCTTGTGTGCTTGAGGCCCTAGATTCTACCCCAGCCACCAAAGCAATAGTGTATTCACTGGAAGGCAGTAATTAGGACCTTCCTGCAAGTAGGTGGAAAGGGGTTATGTAAGTCAGCAGGACTGTTGGGTCACTCTCCCAACAGAGGACAGGAGTCTTCTGACACGCACATGTTTTGAATGAGGGCAATTTCCTGGTGCCTGCCCAGCACAGATTATTCTTTGACCGATCACTTCCATTTCTTAGAGCTTATCCTTTGGAAATAAACACATGCACAAAAGTGTGTGTACAAGTGCTTATTATAAAAATACTGGAATGTGAATGCTAAAGGACAAGGTAACTGCTAACTAAATAATACTGCATCTATTCCTCTGAATACTATACAGTCACTAAGAATGAAGAGATAAATCCAAGTTTGATGACGTGTAAAGGAAAGCAGATTCACAAAGCAAGACAGAGGGCTAGCCACATAGCTCAGCGGATTAAAGTGCCTACTTAGGCAGATGCAGGAACTGGAGTTTGATCCCAGGCGTGTTGGGCTGGCCCTGCCCCCAGGGTGCGCTGAGAGGCAACTGAGACTGGGTGTGATGGCACATGCCTGTAATCCCAGTGCTTGGGAGGCTGAAAACAGGACCAATCACTATGAGTCCAATCTGTGTAGTAAGA